CTATCTATCTATCTATCTATCTATCTATCTATCTATCTATCTATCTATCTATCTATTCATCCATCCATCCATCTCTTGCCTTCCTAGATAAAATTACATTTCAATTTAATTTATTCAAATTAGTTCAAATTACAATTCTGCATCCTGTTTGTTACTATAATTCAAATTCAGGAACTGAATTGAAATTTAAAAGGCTTTCACAACTCAATTCTGAATGGTACACAGCCTTTTACAGGTTCACAATCCGATCTTAATGAATTTTCTCACCACTCAAGTCCAAAAACACCATACAAGACACTGTCATGTACGCTGCTTCCCTCGACGACAAAAACGCTGCGTAGCACGTTGAAATAAAGCTCATAATCAGGAATGGCGCACACCAGTCTGGCCTTGAGAAAGGACATCCACTTCCTCTGAAGAGACCTCTGCCCTCCAATGTCCCCCTGTGAATGCCAAACAAAAAGCAACTGATATGACAATCAAAGCAAGTTACATATAAAATTATGGCTCATTTTTATTAACTCAATAGTGTAGTGGGAATGACACGATATACATATTATGCGTAGTCTGCAGTTCTTTTAAAGCTGACTCCTCAGGGGCATGAGTCACACTAAAGTAGCTCTAAAAATATTAACAAATAATAAACACAATATAGCCCCATCTTACAATCTAATGAGATGTGACATAATTGAGTTTAAATGATAAATAATGATTATGTAGCTTTGCATCACACCGCAATCCCTGTCAACTGTCAAATCAGAGGTATACTGAGAAGGGAAAAAAATATTATCTGGGGAATTTCTACCAAGCCACCCCATGGCTTTTTGCATAATTCACATATACCCTTGAGAGTAGTTCACAGCCAAATGCACCAAGCATTGCCATGTGAAACTCTCCTGAATTAAACATTCAGCTTGAAATGACACAGTTGTGGGCACAAAAAGCTGTCCTAAATATGCTAACAGCGTTCTGCTCAAAAACAGGCTCCATCAGGCTCTAGTAGTAACATGAGGATCTTCAGGCTAATTGTGGTGTCAGTTCACATTCAGGCGAGAAGAAGAAAGACCAGAACTGAGGATGGCTCAAATTTAAGAGTAAAGGAAATAGAGCCTTTTGTGCAGTTTCTCCATAACAAAAGTTATTAGCAATGTTGTCACATGATCTAAGTATCAGATATTTGTGTCACTGAAAATGGCAGAATTTCATTCTTTTTTTTTCTAGAAATGTACACTATATACTGGCTGTAGAAAAAACTACTTTCAATCTGTTAGACAAACTATATCAAAGTTGAAATGTAGAGAAACAGATTAAAAAGGAAAAACAGAAAGAATGTACAATGGAGGCTGTGGAAGACATCTGGGGCAGAATAATCATTTCCCTCCTGCTCATTATTGCCATTATCACAGCAAGGCATGCTTTGTTAATTTGACAGGAAATATTTTCTTAATTAATATGGAATGTATTTATGATGTGTAAACACTGTACCTTACGTATAATTGCTATTTAGACTTTAATTGTGAAAAACACATATTTCTTTGAATGTTTATTTTGTGTCTTTTTTCTAGTAACTTCTGCAAAGTAGAAATTAGGCTAAGCACTATAAACTTCATGCATCTGCTACTGAGCTTTGCTTTTTTATTTACATTTTTTTAAGGGTCAAAGCATGTCGATTTATAGGGACACTTAGTATTAATAGTTTGTTGCTGTACTTAATTAGTAATTTGATTAACTTTTATTGTTGTTTTGTGCACTAATCTCTGTAAGGGTGATTACTGTTCCCCTTGGTGAACCTGCTTAATTAAAATAATTTCTCACCCACTGAACACAATGGAAGTCAACAGATTTTTAATGTATAGTAAGTAAGGGTTGCCTACATTTAGAAGACAAATTGGACGAATTTAAAACAATATCTTCAAATTGTTCTTTAACATCTTGATTGAACTTACACCAAAAGTTTTGTTTATTGGGGTGAGACTAGTGTTTTTAACCTATCTATTTAAAATGCTAACAAAGTTTTTCACAACTAATATTAATTTTATTTAGTTAACCTAAAGACTGTGAACTATTTACTAAAACACTCTTAATTTGACTGTAATTTTCACCATTCAGTCTTGGTGAACATAAGAGGCTTCTTTCAAAAACATTAAAAATATAACCACAAACTTTTGAACAGTAGTCTATAAGCATGGATGTGTACATGTGTGTAATCGGCCGTATAGGTGTGTGTGTGTGTGTGCGTAGTGTGGCCTACTTTGGACTGGAGCTGGAGTCAAACAGTAAGGGACCTGACCTGCTTCCCAGAGCCATGAAGTGTTAACTGCAGAGTGAATGCAGGCGTGAAATAAATGAAGATATAACGGTGAGGGGAAAATGCTGGGTGGTTTATCCGAACACAATGAAGAAACTAAATGAGATGAGAGTAATGCAGGTGGGAGAGCATGTGTGGGAGAAGGAAAGTGAATGAGAGAGATAGTTTGGGTAGTGGGGCTTTATCTGCCCAGCAACAGTGGCAAACCGTAGAAACTCCAGGAATGTGGGGCGACATGAGGTCAGGCTGGTGCTGTCACGGAGCTCTGAATAATTTTAGCTTATTTGAATTGTACTTAGGAGCGAAAATGTCTTGTTAATGCAAATTTGAACACCAGATCAACATAGCATAACTGTTCCTCTTCAAGATATATCCCAAACTTTACCTTACACACACGGGCCACCCTGGCCACTTTGGTCTGGCTGGAGTAAGCTGTCGGTTCTGTGTTCCTCTCCGTGAAGAAGAAGTAGAGTTTGTCATCATCCCCGATGGAGCTGTTGATGCTCTCTCTGAGTAACGCTGAGCCGACAAAATCTGACTCTACGAGAAAACAACAGCATTAACTGCTGCCCGAACCACAATGGACCAATTATGGGTCTTACAGAGCTTATTGTGTGTCTGAGAAGTTTCAAAGTACAGTGTTTATTGATTAAAATATAGTGACTCTTTTGGGATCTTATGTTCCTTTTAATCTTATACTGTATCTTACGTTTTAACTGAATCAAAATATTTTGCCTAAAAGTATTGAATTATTAGTGATGCTTTCTAAGGCAGGTGTGCTATTACTTTTTGATTCTTGCTTGGCAGATGATACAGTGAGTAAAAAATGGCACATTCACATTCTTCTTTTTCAAAAAATGTTCAACTAACCCAGCAGCCATCTTGTTGGGGAATCGTCCATCCGCAAGTTGGGGAAGGGAAAGTTGCGTCGTATATCAGAGATGTTACGAAACTCATACTGGGAGGCAGAGTACATCTCACCATCTGTAACAGCAAATCTTATAGGTTACACTAGAAGAAACATAAGAAATAAGCTTATGAATCTCATGAGCTTATGAATCTCATAAGCTTATGAAGTCATTTACCTATTATGAATCCAGTGTAGCCCTTTGTAGGGTCGTAAGGACATTTCTCCTTTCCTTCCTCAAAACGCACAAAGGTAAAGCGTGCCACATCCTGAGCAAAACATGGAGATTTATAAGCACCATGCTCAATCTTATACTAGAATATAAATCATTCATGATCACAATTTCTTTGCAATATGAAGTTCAGAATGAGAGAGGTAAACATCTCACTATGTAAGCACAGCGTGGTCTGAAGGCATGCGTCCCGCAGGTGTACAGGTGAGTGTCATTGTATCTGTCCAGGAACCGCACATGATTGTAGCATTCAGTCTGTGATTAAACAACAAGGAAGAAATTATTCTAGAACTCTTAAAGGGGTCATATGATGCTGCTAAAAAGAACATTATTTTGTGTATTTGCTGTAATGAAATGTGTTTGACCCCTTTAAATTTTCTAAAAAAACAAACAAAAAAAAACATTATGCAGTACCATACACAGACTTTAGTCTGTGGAGAAAACCAATAGCCAATACTCGAAAATGTTTATTATTGTTTGAGAGTGTGAATCTGGGTTCTTATAGTTAAATAAAACCATTTAAAAAAAAATTTTTTACTCACGAACTGCCTTTTTTTTTATTATTTTGCACATTACTCGAGGTCCACTTAAAATGTTATCAAGATTTTGACATCAAAAAACATAATTTTCTGTCCTGTTTTGACCCCCTCATCGGAATACTCCATTTGAATAGGGGTGGCGAATTGTAGATTCGGAAGTAAACGCCCACTGTTATGATTGGCTAACAGTTGTGTATGTTTGACAGCCTACGTCCTTCACAGATGGACGCTGCTGTGATTTAGGTTAAAACGCATAAATACTCAAACGATCTGTACAAACAGACCAAGCAATAGTACCCAGTGCGACATTACTGTCAGATCCAATATAGCCAGCATATCCTGAATGTTATCTACAGTATGTATCACAAAAAAGTACACCTTTTCATGCTTTAGATGTGGTTTTCCATTTATATATCCATTTGGAAGAAACATTTATCCAAAGCAGCTTAAAGAGAATTCAGGCAAATACATTTTACCAGTACTTGTTCCCTGGGAGTCATTGGCATGTAGGGTTGGGTATCATTTGGGGGTTTTTTTATACCGGTGCCAAATCGACACTTTTAAAACGGTTTCGGTGCCTAAACGGTGCCTGAACCGATACTTATTTAAAAAATAAATAAATAAAAATTCCCCAAAAAATTATGAATTGGCCATTTGCACTATAAACACATGATGTCTGTTTCATTCATACTGGACGTCAGAGGGATCCCTTGCACAGAAAATCCACATATCCAGTCACAGAAGTAGCGAAACTCAGGAAATCCCTTATATGGACAAAGGCATTGCTATTATAGCTGTTTTAAAAAAACAAAAAAAAACAGAGCATATAAACTTTTTGATTGATAAATCAATGACAACAATCACTTGACTGCGACAATATAGTTTATCTGTTTTATTCAAGCCATCTGGTATTTTCATAATAATTAAGTATATTTATAATCCATTGCTAATCGATATATATTTTTAAAGTAGCCTATGGAACATATTTTCTGCCTCATTCTGTGACAAGAAGCAGATCACAAAAGGAAGCATTTGACTGGTGTTGTGGAGTAAAAAGGTTATAATGTTCTCTTTTTTTGGACAACAGGTTTAGAAATGTGAATACAAGGGAAGTTTAGCTTTAGGCATTTTAATTTAAGCATGTTTAGCTTAGTTAACGGAAGGCTACCTGCTGCCGTCAGAGCAAGTGTAATTACTGCATTCACGCGCTCCTCGGATGCTCTCATTTCCCAAGTTGTGCTTAAGTCGGAATGTGAAAACAACATGGACACTCATGTTACTACAAAGATGTGTTGGATTTGTATTATTAGAGATTTTCGACTTGAGTTCACGCGCATTTTCTCAATCGGGAAATTATTTTTCACGTGTGGTGCTGGTGATGATGCTTCTTACGTCTGTTTCGGAGAACCAGAGGACAAATATTTCAATCGATAGCTCAGGCATGGCACCGAAATCTGCATTCTGATTCAGTTCTAGTACATACCGGTTACATAGGAACCGGTGCCATATTGGTACCGGGTTTGGTACCACCCAACCCTATTGGCATGACATTGACATTGAGTTGAGCTGTGGGATTTAGGGGAGGATATCCTACACATCAAGAATGGCAATACCTGATTGTTCTTTCCTTTGCTCAGGCACTGCCTCTTCTGTTCTGCAGACGCTGCCCATTCAAGCTGTTATACAGACATGAACAACAACTATGATCAGCCCAGCTGCATTAAGAAGAGGAATGAAGCATATAAAAAATATTGTGACAAAGGTGGAACTCACAGAAAGAGAGATACTGGTGTCAGAGATGTTAGAGGTGTCCAGCTTGTAAATGGCCTCTCTGGCCCCAACATACAACAACCCTGGTCCGTCCTCCAGTAACAGAGAACTGTAGTTCACTGCAGCTCCACGGAAATGATTACAACCCAGCAGCCCTGCGAACGGAGAAAGAGACCCAGTTAGAAAAACAGGGACAAACATGACCAAAACATAGAGACCCACTCATAGCTCTACACTCTTTTGTCTATTATTGGAAACATTTGAACTGGGATGAACAGATGGAGAGCTAAATCATTATCAGCAATCTATGAATAAACTGAATGGCTACAAAGAAAAGATGACCATGAAAACAGAATAATAAAGCTTCATTCAGCAGCATGAGAAGGTATGGCATGAATTGCATTAATGTGACATAGCTTTGCCACAAACTAAGATCAAACTTCACTGTAAAAAAGAAATGCTGGCACAATAAAAAGAGTCAGCGAAAGCAAAAAGGTGCTGTAAAAAGTAGTGGATTTAACACTTCCTGTTTTCATGCGCAATCATAAAGTATCTTTCTGAGACATTAACGCATTTGGGTGGTCTGCTTCCTCAAATTAAGGGCATAAAGTAAACCCAGGCACATTCTGAAGGGTAAAGGACTTGTATTGCCCATCTACAACACTGCATGCTGAGATTTCCTGCCCCATACTGAGAGACGGGTGGGCTATGCTGATGAGACTTGGCAGTATTAGGCCCCATATCAACCATTGTACCCCTCGAAAATGCCCTTCTCTTATCTCTCAAAACACCCATCCCCCCCAAACACAGTGCTAAAGTCTGCTTCAGCAACAATATACAGTAAATCCAGCATGCAAGAATATGCAGCTAGAATTTAAAAGAGATTTGTGTGCCCCATCATATTTTCCATTATATTTTTGAGCAAAGTACAAAAATTTCATTGTTTAAAGACTGAACACCAGAATAGCATACTAAAATACTCTGAGAGACACCGCTATTAAATCATCAACACTAGGGATGTAACGATTCACTCAATTCACGATTTGATTCGATTCACGATTTATTAATTTTTTTACAAAATGAGATTTTAGACATATTATAAATTAAATGTGTCCTTTTATTAATTGCTTGGACAAAATACTTCAAAATACACTTATTTCTTTGTGAAATTGAAATATAACACTATAATAATATATTAATATAGCACTTGTAAATTATTGCTCTTTTGTTGGTTTTGATTGCTTCTATTGTCCTCATTTGTTAGTCACTTTAGATAAAACCGTCTGCTAAATAACAACATTTAAATATAATGTAAATGTAAATAACAAAACTAATTTTTTTTTATTTTAAAATAAGCCCCAAATCAAATAAATAAGTAACACAAATAAAAGAAACCTCTTCATATAAACAAACTAATGCTTTGTCTGTGCTCTTTCCATTTAAAATGAGAGGCAACCACTGCATTTTAATCTTGATCCAAACAAAGATGCTGCATACATGCAACATGAGCAGTTTTTAATCTAAATTACGTTGTATAATTTCGAAATTTGAAGCAAAAACAGAATGATTTGACTTTAGTTTTGTGTAATTATGCATAAAAAATATCTGCATGAAACAGCAGACAAGCTGAATGAGACGCAGATTCACTCTCTGCCAGTGGGTGGAGCTTAAAGCGTTTCATTGGTTTCCGCTGTAAACAAAGCAGCGCTGCACTTATGAACTTTAATATGCATTATACAGAGGTAAAATGAAAAGAAGAAATACCATCGAAAGACAGTTCAAGTTCCCCTCAGACATACATTCATATAAACTCCTACCCCTAACTGAATCGCAATTTGTTTAGCATCTCAAACGATTTGAATCGTCACATGTTTAAATCGATTTTCAACCGGCTCGCGGTTAATCGTTACATCCCTAATCAACACAAAACAAATAGTGTGACCAGTGTATTCTGATTACAGAATGAATAACACTGCTTTTTTGGTGAATCAAAAGCATACAGAGTCCCTTTCAAGGAAAGTCTGATTTTTGCAGCACCTCTGAAAGGCTTTTATTTGAATGGGGAAATCCTGAAATCTCAAAAACTGCTTGCCACACTTACATTTAAAGAATATTTCAAATTAGCAACAAAATCTTACATAAATTGTCCCATAAATGTTGTTTCTTATGCTCAAATAGCATTAAAAATGTATATTTTAGGTTGGTCCAGCGAATGCACTTGTGCAGCCCTAAGCGTGTCTCAGGACACTGACTGTTTCTATGACAACCAGAGCCTCTAACAGCAACTGCAATGACAATTAACAGCTGATTGGCTCTTTTTTTGTAAGGCGGCGCTTTTCCCACCATATTGCCAGTTGCACTTTTTCCCATTCATAATAACATGAGTGCACTTTTGGTATATCTAAAGTTTTTGATACAGAGCAACCAGTGTTTTCCTATTCCCAAATGAATGCCTCTTATGAGCCGTTTTTTTTTAGTGAACCAAAAGCATACAGCACAACCAGTGTAGTCTAATTGCAAAACGAATGACTCATATGAGCCAGTTCTTTTTAGTGAACCAAAAGCATATAGAGAAACCAGTGTAGTAGTCTGATTTTCTCTCTGGAGTTGTGTGACGAGAGGGGCGGGGCTGAGAGCCGTGGGAACGGAGCGAGGCCGGTGGAGTAATTGCTAATGCGCGACACCTGCGCCACTCACCGGTCTCGAGTCTCACGGAGGAGCTCCGGAAGGATAAAAGGGAGGAGTGACGACAGTGAAAGACGAGAGAGGCCAGGCCTGGACTTTATTTTGTGTTTTGGTTTCGTTTGTGCACGACAGTCGTTCGTGAGGGGCTGTCGCGCTATTTTGTGTTTATTTTATTATTAAAGTTTTATTTAAATGTTCACCGGTTCCCCCCTCCTTCTTCCCGACCTACAAACATTGTTACATTGGTGCCGAAACCCGGGAGGAAGGGGGGACACGCTGCCAGACATCCCTCGCCGCTGTCAAAAACATAGTGCAACCAGTGTAGTCCAATTTCTGACTGAGTCTGTTCTTTTTGGTGAATCAAAAACATACAGTGCAAACAGTGTAGTCCCATTTCTAACTGAGTCTGTTCTTTTTGGTGAATCAAAAACATAGTGCAACCAGTGTAGTCCAATTATTGACTGAGTCTGTTCTTTTTGGTGAATCAAAAACATACAGTGCAACCAGTGTAGTTCAATTTCTGACTGAGTCTGTTCTTTTTGGTGAATCAAAAACATACAGTGCAACCAGTGTAGTCCAATTATTGACTGAGTCTGTTCTTTTTGGTGAATCAAAAACATACAATGCAACCAGTGTAGTCCAATTATTGACTGAGTCTGTTCTTTTTGGTGAATCAAAAACATACAATGCAACCAGTGTAGTCCAATTATTGACTGAGTCTGTTCTTTTTGGTGAATCAAAAACATACAATGCAACCAGTGTAGTCCAATTATTGACTGAGTCTGTTCTTTTTGGTGAATCAATAACATACAGTGCAACCAGTGTAGTCCAATTATTGACCGAATCAGTTCTTTTTAGTGAATCAAAAACGTAGTGTGTGTAGTCCAATTTCTGAACGACATACAGCACAACCACTGTAGTCCGATTCCAAAACATATTACTTTTGTTAGATGGTTCTTTTTTTGGTAAATCAGTAAATCAAATAGTCTGCTTACCAAACAAATTATTCAGATGAGCCGTGTTTTTTTTTGTTTTTATTTCAAACACATACAGACATACAGCAACTGAGACTTAAATTAGTATAGCTACAGACTGGTTATTTATACTACATTGCATAAAGATAGACATTATGAACTCTGACAGAAATATTTTACAAATATTAACACTAGTAGCTTTTAAAAGAGCAAAACCAGCAGTACTGGTCTAGTGTTTGAGCTAGCATGAAAATTAATGACAGTATAAACCAAAAAGTCAAGGCCACGAGGCTCTAAACTGTCAATCAAAGAAAGGTCGGAACAGACCTACGGGTTGCTGTGCACGTGGGACAGCCAGTGGCTAAAATTACTCATAACAGGAAAGAAAATATTAAGTTATGCAAACATGATTCAAGACCTCAGGCAAAGTGACGACATTCTGTGTGTGTTGTTAATCTTTGTGTCTCATTGTGTAGATAGAGAAAGATAGTGACTGTAACACACACAGTGATGAGTGCAGAGCTGACGATAAACTGAGAGATCACACAAAAGCCTTTGAGCTCAAAGCACATTGTGTGTCCTTGGACCATGTACACACACAGCCACTCATACACACACACACACACACACA